TTGACAAAATCCTAGAAGAAACGCTATTCTAGCGGAAGGATAAGTTTTACTTTTTTAAATTATTTTTGCACTTACAAATTTATATTTACGAGAATAAATTATATCAACATAAGAAAAATTACTTTGCTAATGTGGTAACCAGTGTGTCTTCCCACCAAATTGTCAAAGTTAAGAACATATTTTTTCAGTTCAAACTGACTATTGATATAGTGAAGCGTAAGAGTATGGATCCTGTGACCTAGAGGTCCAACCATCAGTGGTGATAGCCACCTGTTGACAAGTGGAAACTTCTTTTTCAATTAGGTTTTGCACAGTATCCATAACGCTTTCATAAAGCAATGGCAGCTTGTACCTTGAAAAAGTTGAGGAATGTTTCACGATTACTTTTGGATTTAAATGTTCCACCATTTCTTTGAAGCATGGTTCATCTACTAGAGTGAATGGACTACTTGACCTGGCAATGTATGACATGATTACCATGTCTGTCTCCATTTGCCTGCCTGATTGGGAAGAATATTTCCCACTAGTTCCCCCATTAACACATTTAGATAAGCCTTTTTGTGATCGTTGATCTAAAAAAACGAAATAAAAATTAAAGTTAAACATGAAAATTATCTTTATACAAGGAAAAATATTATTTTATGAAAAATAATTAGAAACTTACTTTATGCGTCATTCAGTTCAAAGGCAGCTTCTGTAATTTCTTTAATATCTTCTTCTCTTTGGCGCTCAAGTTCAATTTGGGCTCTTAACATCGTAGCGTAGTCAGTAGGATGCTTTGTTTTCAGATGGTACCTGATACCACTAGTGGATCCATTAGTTAACTTGATTTGGATTTGACACTTTTTACATTCCCCACACTTAACACCTGACACAGTAACTTTATTGAAATAATTCCATAAAATTGTAGCTTTTATAGGCATGATTATATGATTGAGAATTACTATGGTTTTTAAACAATAAATTAATTAGTTTTGCAAAATATTTCAAGTTAACACAACAATATCGCATTTAAAATGTTATATAATATAATTTGAAGTATTTAATTCAAACAATGATTTCAAACTCTTCATGCAAGTTTATAAACAAATACATAATTTATGTCTGATGAACTTAAAGTTAAAATTTTATTACAGTAAAACGGTTTTACTGTAATAAAATTTTAACTTTAAGTTCATCAGTTTTACTAAAACCTACCTACAGAAGACAATATCTTTTTTTAACTTCGTTAGATGCGCTAAGCCTTATGAAAATGATGCTATTGCATTGCTTGGTTAATACATTTTTTTAGTTAAACTTTGATTTACGAAACATTGAGTTAGTAAGTATTAAACGTAAAAGTTTATGTATTGCTCGAGGGCATGGGAATCGTGAAATATCTGTTTGGGCTGGGAGTTATGAAATATTCCGTAAAAACCGATGAGAAACGAAACAGTTTTATTGTGTTTCGTAAATAACGGTACAAATCGAAAAAATAATTTCACGTTTCGTAACAACATGATACGAAACGAAACAAGATTTACGTGTTTCGTATAAATGCGATACAAAACAAAATGATATTTTTTGTTTTGTAAAAATGGAACAAAACGAATACTCACATTTTTTACCGTTTCATACCGAACTTCCGAGAGAATACGAGCAGACGCAGACCCTTAGTTTCTACCGTAAGTTCTAATCTAGAAGTATAAATCTAGTTAATAAATGTTTATGAATCCTTTGAAACTTTTTTTAATTGCAACCACCTGGTTATCCAATTGTTTTGTAATGTTAATATAACGTGTAATAATTGACATTTGCTCTGTGGCTATTATCTGGTATACAATCTACAATAACGGAAAAATACTTAGCCTTTTTGATCATACTTAAAGTTTTATCTTTTGCTTTGCTTATTATTTCCTCCTGCTCAGCTGCTCTGTTTAAATGTTTTTCCATCACTTTGAAAGTTTGGATCTTTGAAAGTAGTTCTACAATTTTTAAAAGTTTCCCATAAGTTTCTGAAAAAATTATGTCTGGTGATTCGCAGAATCTTATATTTTTAGAAGCCTTTATTAAAATTTTTATTAATAATTCTCTTAATTACAAGTCATTAACTATGTTGTACAATGTTGTACATTGTACATATTTTCCAAATGAGTCATAGCGCTCTACCCTGTTTATGTCTTTTTAAAGTTAGTTTCATGTCTCCAGTCATTTGTTCCAGTTTTACTAAATTAGAAGTAATGTTGCTAAACAATTTGCAACAAAAACAGAGTATTTTGTCAGATTTAAGTGAGTAAATCAAAATCTGTTGATTAATTCCAAAATCTGCTAATTAACTTGCCAAAATCTGTTGGTTAACTTGCAATTAAGAGCTTTGCAACCAAAATGTACATTATTAAATAATTGATTTTCATCATCTTTTAAGTAAACAAAGGTTTTTTTGTAACTATTTCTGGAATTAATAGTGTGCACAAATTTTCAAGGCAAATTTATATTAGCAAAATTATATTTATTCACATAAACAACCAGATTCATGTTATTGTCTGAAAATTCATTTTCCAAATTAAAGTTCAGAATTGCAGTTGTTTCACTAATCCTTTTAATAATGTTTTTTTTATTTCGACTATGTTCATTTCACCTTCATTTTGTTTTTCACTTAAGTTTTCCTTTTTATTTTTCTTTGGATTCTCGTATTCAATGTCATTTTCTACAGCTGTTTGAAGAAAATAATGAAGAATTTTCTGTTTTTTAAAAGCTTCTGCTTGTTTTTTTTCCTCTTTTTAATTTTTTTTGCCAACAAGATAATTTTTCAAGTCTTGTTATTTTACAGCCTACTTAATATAAAAATTTAATGTTGTTTATAATATAGTTTAAACAGTATTTTCAATTTCTAAAGTTTAAATTGCGAAAACATCTAGACAGTTGTGGTCAAATGGTCAAAGAAAAAAATTATTTGAGCCTGAACCTAGTATGGAAAATTATTTGTTAGGACATGCAAACAGTTATGTACTCATCAAGAACAAAACTTTTATAAACATCTATTTAACGTTAAATTTTCTAACAGATTGGTACAGTTTACTAAACATTATATTTTGTGCCCTCCTAATTTTCCCCCCTTTTTAACTCTGTACCTGTGTGCTCTGTTAGCAAAGCCTGGTTTTGAAGCTATAACCTGCTGCTACAAGCTTTTAATAATTTTTGAAGCGCATTATCAGAATGAGCTATATCTGCTCTAAAAGTGTTTCGAAAGACTGATCCAAGATGAAAAAGTGATTTATATTTAATAGTTTTTGAGTTTTGTTATAAGTTACAAAGGTCTAACCATAAAGCATAGAGACTAGGTTTTTTGCCAACCTCAAACACTTTCAGGTTGGCAGTTAGGTCAACATTGCCGAATGCCGACCCTAATTCCGAGAGTGGTATATATATATATATATATATATATATATATATATATATATATATATATATATATATATATATATATATATATATATATATGCAAAATTTTTTTTGTTATGCTCAGATTCTTTTTTTATTTTACTATTTTTTCATTGATCGTGTTTTCTTTCTGAAAGTTAAGAAAAGCAGCTAAATTTTAAATATTTTCCTAATAGTATTTTTATCTGCAATTTTAATATAAAGTAAAATCACCATTATTCTTTTTTTTTTTTTTTTCACAGCCATCATTCACCATTTCATCATTCACCATTTCATCATTTACCATTTCATCATTCACCATTTTATCATTCACCATTTCAACATTCACCATTTCATCATTCATTATTTCATCATTCACCATTTCATCATTTACTATTTCATCATTCACCATTTCATCATTCACCATTTCATCATTCACCATTTCATCATTCACCAGCAGATGATTCTACTTTGAATTCATTATTATACTTTAAAATTGTCATTCTTTTATCGCATGATCTTAAACAATTTTTCTAGATTTTTGTTTAAGCTTGAAATGTTATTAGATATTTTTGTTTTGATTAAATCAATCAATACTATTGAAAAACCATTTCTTGGATCTGCAAAAACAAATTTAATTTTTTTAAATGTTTTTATTTTTTTTAATATTAAAAAAATTGTGTAAGTTTCTACAATTAGTTAATAATAGATTGTGACTATGATTAAATATGTATATTTTGAAAATTGAATTATGTGGATTTGAACAAGCCAATGTGATTATTTCTAACTTACCAGAGTTCAACCATAATTGTATTTTACTCTTTGTAAAGCTACATTTTGAATGTATCAAAAATTAGTTAAAAATAATTGTATCAGCACTTTCAAAGTCTAGCTCTTTCTTGGACACCCTTACCTGTATTTATAGTTTATACATTAGCATGAAGAACTAATATTTCATATCAGCCAAAGTTCTATTTAACAGGAATTTACTTTAGTTAAGCATTTGTTAAGTGGAACCCTTTTTCTTGTTTCCTAGGAGGTTGGCGTAATCAGGAATTATCTGTAACTATAGTTAATAAGTTTATAATAGTTTATATTGGTAGTAAAGTAAACCCAGTTTTTAATTTTTCAAAGATGATGATTTCTAAAAGTTATTTATTAGAGTTGTAAATATAAGTTAATAAATAACTAAATTATCTGTTTAAAACAACTGTTTAAACAATTAAAAAAAAAAAAAATTTGAACATAAAGTAGCATCAGGAAAGCAATTTATTTTGCTGACCAAAAGTCTACTCCTACAGTATACTCAGCTGCTGAAAGAGAATTCAGATCTTAAATCATTTGATAAAAGTTTTTTTTATATTTATCTTCTTGAAATATTCTTTTAGTAAGTGATTTTCTAGGTTTGGATATCACGGAAAGAGAAGCAATGGCTGAGTATGTTGAAACAGGCTTTATGGGAGTCATTTAGCACATTATAATTTTTTGTTTTGGCTCAAAAATTGATTTTAAAATAAATTTTGATATAAAAATGTAACAATAACTTCTTGAAATTTTTGCAACTTATAAAAAGTTTTAATTAAGAATTATTTTTTTTATAGGCCGAATGGTTACTTTAGTTTTGATGAACAAAGTTGATGCTAAAATTGCTGGTGACGTTACAGTTGGTGTGCAGTATCTTGCTGATCAGTGCTTGAAATCTACCAGTAATGTTTCAAGTGTCTGGGTTAGTAGAAAGTTTTTTTTGATTCTATTTTTTTTTTGGAACAATTTCAAATCACCTTTCAAATGCTGGAACAACTTTAAAAGCAACTTTCACTTTTACAAATTTTAAAAACAAATTTTTAAAAAAACAAAATTTCAATTTCCAAATCTTTCAAGTTCTTAAACTTCAAAAATACAGGTCGAAGCAACACTGCAACAACTTCCAAAATAAGATTTAAACTAGGGCTGTACCGGATTTCGGCTCCGGCTTCTGCTCCGGCCGAAATCCGGCCGTTTTTACAAATCCTGCCCAAATCCGGCTCCGGCAAAAATTTAGCAAATCCGGCATAATTTTAGCCGGAGTTTTGAATTTTGTCAAATATTTATTACATTTTTTTTGCCCGTGTTTACATGTATACCTAATATTTTATTTATAAAAATCAATTTTTTTTGTAATTATATATTTTATGAACCTCATATTTGTTTTGGTATTTGTATTCATATTTCTTTATAATTTAATAAGCTTAGTCTAATTTCAAACAACAACGCAACAAAAAATTCTGAAGGGAAGGCACACGATATTCTACAATGATGCAGGTATAAAGACTATGATGTCAACCCTAATCAAGTGATTGGATGAGCGTTTTAAAAGCATTGAAAAGAGAAACCTCTTTATATACTGACGAGGCTGGTTGACTCACAATTTAAAACTAAATTCTCCTCATTAGAGGCAACACTGAGAGCTGAAAAAACAAGATTGAAGTCAATCTGAGCATGCTGAACAGAAGATTGACAAAAGTGAAGAAAATCCATCAAAATAAGCCGGGCTTAATAATTTTTCTACATCATCATCATCATTACTCTGGCAATTTATTGATAAAATTATTCAGTCTACGTCCGCTGATGGCAGGGCACATAAACAACAATTACTATAAGGCATTGAAACTCAGCTAAGGAAATATCCGAAAGAACCAGAAATAAATAGACACAATGATCCACTACAGTGGCGGAGTGACAAAATCCCGGAAAAATCTTCAATAGAATTACTATAAACTTTTAAAACATATGGCCTATAGAATTTTTTTAGAATTTCTATTAATTTATATATAGAAATTGCTATAAAACTTTTTAAATAACAAAAATGAAGTTTAACAGAAAAAAGCAGTCACTTAGTATTCTGAATAGTCCACATTGTTGACCATGCTCAACACTAAGTAGAGATGTACAGGATTTTGGCTCCTGTATTTTCTTTTGAAATCCGGCTCCGGCTCCGATTCCGGCCTGATCTGTCAGTAGAAATCCGGCAAATCCAGCTCCGGCCGGATTTGAAAAAATTAAATCCGGTACAGCCCTAATTTAAACTAGGTTAACATGGAAATAAAATAAAACACAGGTAGAATCTAAGAACTGTTATTTATTTGTAATATTTTTTTTTTTGTTTTAAACATTTTTCAAATAATGATTATTAAACAACAAAATAATCTACTTCCCAATAACTTCACAATATCTGCTATTATTTCAGCTCCTACATTTTAAATTTTTTTATTTCAATTCACCTCCCCAAGGCCATGAAGGCCACTATAGTCGAGGAGGCAACTTTTTGATGATGAAGGCCACTATAGTCGAGGAGGCAACTTTTTGATGATGAAGGCCACTATAGTCGAGGAGGCAACTTTTTGATGATGAAGGCCACTATAGTCGAGGAGGCAACTTTTTGATGATGGAGAAGAGGCTCAAGCTTGGTCGATGAAGTCCAACTGTGTTTTGGACCTTGTCTAAAAAAGAAAGAACATCATTAGAAGAACCAGTCTTGTAGAAGTAGAGAATGGAATTAGGAGTAAGATAATGGTGAACACAATAAAGAAAAACAACTTAAGCAGTTACGAACTCATTGTATATATGGTTTTCACAAGAGGTCAGTAGTGAATGATAATCCAAGAAAACAAAAAGAAGAGGACTCAGTTAGAGGGTTGCCATTCTTTAATATAGGAATGTTGACAGTTTTTCTTGTTAGATTTTTCAGATGATTTGCTGTATTTTTTGCAACTTTCAAATCATTTTTTTTTAAACCATTCCTAAAATTTCTTTATTATCTCTTGAAGTTGGTTTCAACTTTCACCCTCATCCAGTAAGAATTTTAAATGTTTCATATTGTTTGTATTTCTTTATAATAATTCCTACTATTTTAAGTGAAATATTTGTACGTTCTTGAATTTGTATGTTCTTTTATTTCTATAAATCGAACTATAAATTGAACTATATTTCTACAAATATTACCTTGTTTGTAAAAGTCTATAATAAGTTTTCGTTGAGTAGTATTTAGGTATTTACCTTTGGGTGCCATACTGTTTGACAAACAAAGTTTTTAATTTCAATATTTGGGTACTCTCATTCTACTGATGAATTGTTTGCTGTATATTAGTTACATTAGACGAAAAAAATAATGCAAAGTTTATTGATCTTGACATATTAAAATCTTTGATTGCTTAAGACAGGCTGATTATGAATGTGGTTTTTTTAACTTTAACATTTTGAAATTGAAATGACTAGTGAATTTTAAACAAAACTCAATTGTTTACTGTCAATAACAATTCCAGTTTTGTTGATATTTTTATCTAATATATTTTTGTATCAAATACTGTTATATTTTGTTTTTTAATGATTGTCTTTCCCTTTTAGAGGTCTAAAAACGTAGCTTTAGAAACTAAATAACTAGACCTGCTCTAGCTGCTAAGAATCAGCCTCTTGTTGTAATGTTGTGTTTTCTCTTTGCTGATCATGTGAGATATCATCTCTTAAATACTTCCTACCAAAGTACAATTTTATTTTACTTGTTGTTTAGGTAAGTTGCATCATACTTTTTACCTTTGTGCTTAAAAAATTTTAAATTTTTCTTTAAACATCAGTGCATTGGCATTCTCTCTAGTCTTCATGTTTTCAATGCAATTTTTGAACTTTCTAAGTCTTCAGTTTTTAAGTCTATTGTCAATCATTTTTTCTTTATTAACTTTCATCTTTACTTAGTAACTTAAAGAATAAAATTAAAAATTAAAATTAAAAAAATAGCAACTTGTAACTTTAAATAGTGAATGCTTGCAGCCTTGTTAAAAGTGAGTTTGTTTTAAAAATACAACTTTGACTGTAGTGTAAACTATTGTGGTGATTTATAAGTGCGTTTGTAACAATATAAATTTATTAGTTTATGAAGTTACAAGTTATGAGAAGTTACATGTTTTAATTATTTTTTTTCTAATTAATGTATAGCTTGATTTAAAGCCAAATGGAAGAATACTTGTACATGTGAAATATTTTTCTGAGAACGTGGGTAAGTTCAATTTTTTTACAATTTACTTTGTATAAATTATCACAGATCTTATATAAATTAATGTCATGTGTAATAATCTTTTAAAAAGTCTGTTTATCATGTTAAATGATTATCAGAAAATGTACAATTTGATACAGGTGACCCAAATGGTGGTGCTCTTGATGCGAATCAATTGAAGAACTTGAGTGGTTTGCAGATGCGTCGTGGTGCTGTGCGTAAAGCGAAAATTCATTTAGTCAAAGCGCACCAATTTATAGCTAAATTTTTTCGTCATCCTACTTTTTGTTCTGTGTGTAACCAGTTTTTGTGGTGAGTTTAAAAGCTTATATGTCTAAAAAAAAATTTATTTGAATTTATTACTAAAGAACATGTAATTCTAAGGTTGTTGTTAGGTGTTAAAATTTTGGGTGGGTGTTAAAGGTTTAAAAAAAAATGGGTTAGCACATTTTGAGGTTTTGGGTAAGAGTTCAGATGTTTTGGAATGGTTTTGAAGTTTAATTTACAAAAAAAAAACAAGTATGTTTTGTTAGCTCCTGGGATAATTACTTGAATTTTTTTGATAAACTTTTATATATGATTAAATGTCTGAAAATTTATTATTTGAAAAGGTGAAAATCAAATATTTTGGTTGTTTATTTTTCTCATTAGGGGAGTATGCAATTTAATTCGATAATCCGCGAAATATCTATTAGTTCAATAAAACTTCTTCTAAAAGTTCTTCTTAATAAATTTTGTTAATAAGGTTGTCAGATTTTTATATTTCATGTTATATTTTTTTAACTTTAATACTTAGTATAGAGTTTCTTTTGTTTTATTCAATTTAAACAATTATGACTTGATCAATTTTTGTGTATAAGTTTTTTGATATTTTAGACACATTTAATTAAAACTTTAAAACTTTAAACTTTTGTTAAAAGTAATTGGCTTAAAATTTCAGATAGATTTTACTATGTATTGAAAGTTTATATTTATGTGATATAATAGACAAAAATAGATTTTTTTAAAAATAGATATTATTTTTAAATAATACTATAATTAATATTATTTTATAATAATAATTATTATAAACAGTATTAGTTTTTTGTTGTAATAGTATTGTCATATGTTCATCCTTAGATATCTGCCAACCAACATTGCATACAAAGTTCAATTAAAAAAAAAGTTTTTTGTTTTTTTTTAATCGAACTTTGTATGCAATCAAAGCTTAGTTATGAAAATTTCTATTCTGATCAAGCTAAGATTTTATTTGTCAGTGTTTTATTGTCAGATTTTATTGACATAAGATATTTTATTTGTCATCTTTGTTATCTTTTTGTTAATGATGCATAAGGAAATTAACATAATACTTTTGATAACAAGATGTAGAGATTAGCAACTGTTATTTAACAATTGTTCAGTAGTCAAATTCAATTTATATATTTATAAATATCTACATTCTTCTGTTATAAGAGGTACATTTGTAACTTCCCCACCCCCTTAAATGTTAGATAAATAGGTGCTTATAAAAAAAAAGATGTTTACAAATGGCAAATGCATCTGTCTAAAAGTATAAAAAAAAAAAGTGAGAGAAAAAAAATTTAATGAATCCGTCTTCTCTTTTTGAAATTTACCAGAAACTAGCTGGATTACATTGTCGTGCACATATCTTTTTTGTGTTTATTTCATTAGAAGTTGTCTCCTTTGCAAATCAGCATTTAATCTATCCACAAAAATATACTGCATATAAACAATACACAAAAATACACTGCATATAAACAATACGCAAAAATACACTGCATATAAACAATACACAAAAGTACACTGCATATAAACAATACATAAAAATACACTGCATATAAACAATACATAAAAATACACTGCATATAAACAATACACAAAAATACACTGCATATAAACAATACACAAAAATACACTGCATATAAACAACACATAAAAATATACTGCATATAAACAGTACACAAAAATACACTGAATATAAACAATATATAAAAATGTGCTGCATATAAACAATACACAAAAATACACTGCATATAAACAATACATAAAAATACACTGCATATAAACAATACATAGAAATACACTGCATATAAACGATACACAAAAATACACTGCATATAAACAATACCAAAAATACACTGCATATAAACAATGTATTAAATGATTAAAAGTTAAAAGATTGTTTTTTTCTTTCCTTTCAATAACATTAATTTTTGCTGATAGAAAATCTGTTATATTGTATTTTGTTTTTATTTGTTTTAGTTTTTTTCTTGTTTTTTATCTTTATTTAATTATATCCTTTAATTTTGTCTATTTACACTGGCCTTGATCAGAGTAAATGAGTGCGAGAGCAGAGAAATGCTTTCATAAAACAAACATGGCGAGCCGTACGAGCTGCTCCTCTAAACAGCTTTAACAAGAACTTTCAGTTTTTTCACAAGTTATCTGTTTTTTCATTAAAAAATCTGCTTATTAAATGCAATATTTGATTTTATACCTGTTTCAAGCATATGTTTGTAACATTATTATTACAAGTATATTTGCACGACAGGTGTTGTTTATTGCGCCATGAAAGCCTATGAAGTATTCTGTTTTTGAAAGAATTCTTTAGACAATTTTTTCTTTGGATTATCATTTATTCACCCATTTATTCATTATCAACTTTACTTATTTGATAAAAAATTTGACTAACTATAAAAGTTTTTACTACTTATTAAAAAATATTTTCTTTCTGTAATAGAATGCAGGAAGAATTATTATAACAATTAAAGATTCCACAATAAAAGTGCGTATATAAGTATTTTTTAGTATTTAACTGTGCATTATATTTTTTTATTTTTCTTAAATTGAGAAAAATTTATATAAAGGTTGGGCTAAGTAAAACTGACACTTTTTATATCTTGAATTAAAAAAGATTAGAATGAGCTACAAAATTGATTTTTTTTTTTTTTTATTGAATGCTTATTAAGTCTAGAACAAAAAAAAAAATAAAGAAAAGAATTGAATTTTTTCAGTAAGATAAAATTTTCTAATTTATCTCTTGATGGGAGTCATAAGATTTTGTACTAGGTGAGATCCATACTCTGTGGCAGTTTTATCCCACTTCTTCTTAAAGTCAGTACTTGATTTTGCTTGCCTAAACTTCTTACATAATTTAGCTTTAATAATCACCCAATATTGCTCAATTGGACGAAGTTCAGGACAATTTGCAGGATTGTTTGTTCTAGGCATGAAATCGATACTATTGGCATTGTAGAAGTTTAATGTGGATTTGGAGTAATGACAAGACGCTAGGTCAGGCCAAAAGATTGCATTACCATCGTGGGCGTTCCATAGTGGCAATAAGCACTTTTTAAGGCACTCTTTTTGATAGATTTCACTATTTATTGTGGAATTAGGGACGAAACTTGCTTTTTAATCAACAAATTGATATATGGCTTGCCAAACCATAATTTTTTGGGGAGTTTTTTTATTTTTATTGCTTTAAATTTAGCCTTTACCTTTTTCCTGGAGACTCACATATAAAAGTGATGTCCTGGAATCGTTTTGAAATTTAATTTCACATAAGTTTCATCATCTATAATTATACTTTTTTTTTTTTTACACAATAATTTGTATAATTTTCCTGCACGACTTTTTGCCACTAAATTTTCTTCAGGATTGCAATCTGGGGCTTTATACATCTTGAAGGACTTGATTTTATGCTTTTTCTTGATAGTCCAAACCATTTTTCTGCTAGTTTTGCATTTTAGTGCCAAATCTTGCTCAGAAATGTTAGGATTTGCCCTTATTTTCGTCAAAACATTTGTCTTCAATTTTTTGTTAATGTTCAAGTTGTTGCCGCTTCCAGGCTTTCTATTTATTGTATTAAGTGTCAAATACTTATTTAAAGTTCTATCACAGCGCTTTTAGAACATCCAACAGTTTTTACAATCGATTTGAGAGGCATATTAGGATTTTCCATTCAAGCGTGCTAAAATTGCATCACAAAGTTGTTGTTTTGTTGCCATTTTAAATAATAATAAAATTTTTCTAAAAAAACATTTTAACTGAAATACTAATACATAGATAATTGTTTTTCTGTATGATAACGTTCTGTATGATTTTTTTAACGTCCTATTTATAAGAAATAAAAAGTGTCAATTTTACTTAACCCAACCTTTAATTCATTTTATGTCATTATATATCTTTTTATAAGTTTTAGTAAAGTAAAATAAATTTACTTATAAAATTCAAAAATACTTACAATTAAAAAAGTTTGAATTTACTTAATAAATTCAAACTTTTTTAATTGTACTTTTAAAAATATTTAATATTATAAACTGAATTTACATAATAGCTTTAATAAGAAGATATAGCATTGACTAAGAAAAAGATTTATAACAAAATGTTATCAATTTATTTTTTCATAATGGTATTTGTATAAGAAACTGTTTTTTTATTAAGAAAACCAATCAGTTAGTCCAATCTAATTAAAAGCATTTATATTTTAATTAGTGCTCTATTATCTCCTCCCATAAACCTCTTTAGAGGAACCCGCTGACCCTTGAATATTTAATTTATCCCTAATGTTATCTAAATAAAAAAAATTTTATATTATGTCAACCTTGTACTCGGGTACTCAAAAAAAGCAACATTTTATATAAAGTTTGAAAATAAAATCATATTAGAAAAACTAAACTTTTTTAAAATTTAAAAAAAAATAATAACTTTTATCCAAGTTATTAACTTGGATAAAAGTTATTAAAGTTTTAACAAAAAAATGAATAATAATTTTAAAAGTTTTACAAAATTTTACTTCTTTTGAGTACCAGGTTGACGTATCTTTGAAAAAAATGTTTTCAGATAATATTAGGTGCTCCTTTCATATTCAAGGGTATATATATATATATATATATATATATATATATATATATATATATATATATATATATATATATATATATATATATATATATATATATATATATATATATATATATATATATATATATATATATATATATATATATATATATATATATATATATATATATATATATATATATATATATATATATATATATATATATATATATATATATATATATATATATATATATATATATATATATATATAAACCTACAGTAGCCTTCAAAGATTTGCAGAAAGGTAAAATCATTTGAGTTTTACTAGTATTTCAGCACATTCACTAAAGCCAACATACTATATACCAATTAGGTTTACAATTATGTTTTGAAAAAGTAATGATTATTAATTATTATATGATTACAATTAATATTTTAAAATTATTTTAGAAAAAAATTATTTGTGAGAATTTGAAGACAAAACATTTATTTTTTTTAAAAATACACATTTTGCAACAATATTTGATCACAAATTTATGAATTAAATTAATTTATATTAATTATAATATATTAATTTATAATAATTGAAATTATTATAAATTAATATATTATAATTAATATAAATTTAACTTATACAATTTATAAGTTAAAATCACATTAGTATTTTGTATTATATCCTTTACAATCAAGAATGGCATCTACGAGGCATAGAGTTAACTAAATTACTGCAAACATTTATGGATATTGAGTCTTATATTTGCTTGGTTTTACTAAATAAATCAGCATGATTTTTAGTGATGCTTGATGCTTTCTAATTGATGGTCAACATGTTCCTATAGATGTTGAATGAGATTCACATCAGGTGACTGGCCTCAAAACATGAACTTTACTAGTTCATGTTTTAGATGCTCTGACGCAAATTCTTTTTAAGCATTTTGGTTTTATATTACAAACCATTCCATAGGATTGTTTCATTTGTACGTTTATATTGACAGCTGTCGAATTTTCTTTGATAACATTACAAGCTTTTTATCCTGACAAAGTGTTATTTTTTGTTCTTTCAAAGTGTTCTTCCTGATTGCATTAGATTCTTTGTAGATCGAAGTTTTTATCTTTTTATAATTCGTCCCACAGAAGACTTAATGACTACTCAAAACTGTGTTACTTTACTAATTTCTGTTTTGAAGTGATCTCAAGGTCAACTTTTTCGCTGGAGATGAGATACTTAGATCCCATGATTTTAATCACTTATAAATAGGGTTTGGGAAAACCCGTTTTTTTTAGACTGGACAAGTTCCAATCGAGCCTACGATTTTTTTTTGGTCTGGGTCTAATTCATCTTTTTTTCTTGCAATTTTAACAATAGTATGAAAGGATTTTCTTTGTTCACATTGATTAAAATCAAGAGATTCAGTAAATGTTATGGTAAATAAATATTATGGTAAACTTGGCAAAATTAGACATTTCACATTTTCTAATATTTTATGTAGTTCTTCTTCCAGTGTTAATGCTAGCTCATTTCCTATAGCATTTTTATTATTTTCAGTTAAAGCCCCTGTTCATAATGTGTGTTTTGCCCCTTCATCTTCATCAAATAATCATTTTACTAAATCTCTTGTAAATGTTTGTTAACTCTTACTTCTGATCTTTCTTGGAAACCATATATCAAATCTATTTCAAATTTAGCATTTGCTAAGGTTGCATCTCTTTATTGTGCTTAGTACTTTCTTACTCCGGATTCTATTCTTTATCTCTATAAATCTCTAATTTATCCTTGTATGGAATACTATTGCCATATTTCGAGCGGATCTTTGAATAATTTTCTCTTTTAGAAAAGGCGCAAAAAACATTGTAAACATAGTTGGCCCTGTTCTTACAGCCAAATGTCAGTTATCACATTGTTGTAATGTTGCTTTCAATTATCACATTGTTGTAATGTTATTGTAATAATTGTAATCTCTTTCTCTTTTCTGTAAATACTATAATGGGCGCAGCTCTAAAGAGCTAAGGTCTCATATTTAGATCAAAGTTGTTGTAATATGTTTAAGTACACTTTAAGTTTTAAAATGCAGACTTAAATCAAAACAGTTTTTTAAGATAAAGAAGAAAAAACAAATAATGAAAATATATAAATATAATTATAATAAATAATAAATATACGCACACATAAATATACACACATATGTATGTATACATATATATATATATATATATATATATATATATATATATATATATATATATATATATATACACACACACATATATATATATATATATATATATATATATATATATATATATATATATATATATATATATATATATATATATATATATATATATATATATATACATACACATACACATAGGAAGTTTTACTCATTTTAGGGGTTTTGGAAAACAAGGCTATCAATGTGTAGGTAAGTCACAACTTTTTTTAGTAAAAATGCATTTAATCTATTGTCTTTTGTGCATATATTTTAAATGCATGTTTACTTTGATGTATACAAGCTGCACAGTAATTAAGTAAACCATTGTGGCTACAAAATCATTTTTTTATGTTTTCATGTTTGTTTTAACTAAATGGCTATAAAACTTGTTATATATTTTATTTCATTCTATATATATAATAAAATTACTTATTATATAATACTTTAACTGCCACTAAAACTTAGAAAATGTCAAAATATTTAATTGCCAAATAAACGGTGACTAATTTCTAATCTCCAAGGTTTAATTTTAGTCTAGTCCTTAATATAATTGTTTTTTATATTTATATTATTACTATATAAATGTTTTTGAAAACAAGATGTTTATATATGTTAAATATATAGATTTTTAAATAGTTCAATTTTGAAAACTTTATTAGTTTCATTAATTTTTTTCTTAACACTAGCTTGCTCTTGCACTGCACACAAGAAGTGTCATGATTTAATACTTTACAATTGTCCTGATTCGGCTACTTCATCTCAAGATACCATTGTATGAGTTTTTTCAACTATTTTTAAATGTTTTCTTGTTACCTTTATATTATATATTATATATTATATATATATATATATATATATATATATATATATATATATATATATATATATTACATACAATATATTATTTGTCTAATAAAGACAATATCAGCATATTGTTGTGTTAAATCATCTGTTTAGATTTGGATAGATGACATAACACTAATAATAAGTAGTAATATTTTTTGTTATGTTATTATTATTACTTTTATTATTATCATTGTTAATATTAGTCTTTTTATTATTATTAATAATAATATTATCTTTGTTATTTTTAACACTACTTTTACAGTAATAATCTAATTTCTAAATTAATATCTAAATAATAACTTTGAATTAAATTTTTTATTTTAATTTTTTTGATAGAGCTGCACCCTTTTTAACTTTTTTTTTAGTCTAAAATGAAAAAGTAGATTAAAAAAAATGATTTTTTCTCCTTATTAATGTTGCTATGCAACTCTTTTTGTTAAGTATGATTTCTTGAACTCTGTGATAGCTCTCAAGAGGCTATGATTCCATCGACAGCTATAAAGTATTAGAGTATTAACATGCCATGTTGCTCATAGATGATTTCTCTGTTAGCATTGTTGGTATATTGTTGAGGTCACATAAGAGCTCTTTGTTAGTACTTAGTTAGAATGAGCTTTTTGTTTGGGGTGTCATGTACAGATTTTTATTATCTAACCCCTTGTATGGAATACTGTTGTCATAGTTAGGCTTGTTCTTATAACCAGACTTCTCTTTTTTCAGAATGTTCTATATTAAAAAAAAAGTTATATTTAAAATATTGTTGGATTTCTTGTCTTTTAAGTCTCGTTTAAGACTCAATGTTGGCAATATTTAAAATTGTTTGACCTATCAGAGACTATAAACTTGGAATCAAATCAGAAAATTGCTAAACTTGTTTTTCATAAATAAAGTTTGAAATCATACAGTTTCCAATTTGTAGTTATTGAAAATACATCTTAACTCTGTGAAATTCATTCAAGAGCACAGTGCAAGTTTGATGATACACTTTGATAATAAGTTGGTCTCAACTGATAAAACTCTGACAGGCTTATTTTAATATGCTCTAGCTTAACATCCTCATAAGCTTCTTTTAGCATCTACCACATGTTGGATTTGAACTCACACTTTTTTTTCTCTTATCATTACAGAAGTATAGTCTGTAATACTGGGGGTAACTTGACTTACTTCATTGTTACAATAAAAAGTTTTAATAACTGCAAAGTTGTTCTCTCTGTTCATTTAGGAGATGAGTAATTTAATGACTAAATTTCATTTTGTAGACAACACAAAAGTTTTTCTTTTCAGAATTTTTGAAAAAAGAAACATTTAAGTTTTTCTTTACTCAAACATTTGCTATTGAAAAATGATTTTATTTCACAGATAAAGTCATATCTTTTATTGCTGTCAAGACTTTTTCATTTTTTCTACACTTTTTATTCGTTAAGCTGCGATATTTAGAAAATCTTGTTTCCATCTTTGTCTCTGAAATCTTGCTTTTTCTTTAGCTTTTTATATTTCTTTTCATCAAGATTTCTTTTCATGTAATTCTTTGATTCGGAGCTTTTTTTATTTAATCTTCATGGCTTTGATCAAAGTTAATATGCAAACAAATTTTAAAATAAATTTACAAGTTCTATGATATTTACATTTGTTCTATAATATTTACATTATACAAACCTTTTGGATTTTGATTGAGTCAATAAACAACAGGTTCTTGGAAAGATTTAAAAATTTTAAATTTACTAGAAATATTTTGAAGTTTTAAACAGTTTCTTTTTTACGTGTAAAATAAAAATGGTTTTGAATGAAAATAAAAGCAAAAATTTTGACATTTAGTTAGTTGGTTTTGGTAATCAACTATAAACTGTTCTTGTTGTTGCTATGCAACAGAAAAATTAGTTTTATTTTTATTGAACTGTTCAATAAATTCTTTTGATTATTACAAAACTTTGAAATTACAAATTAGCTAACGTAAGTTAACAAAAATAATGAGCAAGAATTAAAAAAAAAATTCAAAGTTAAAGAAAAAAGCGTTTCTTTCTCAATAATTCCAAAGTTATGTAACAAACTTAATAGTTATATCTCCCTACCTTGAAAACCATAAATAGCTTGTTTGATATATGTTTTTTTAAATTTAAATAACACTTAATTAATACTTTAAGTATTAACTACTAAGTTCATTTAATTATGTTAATTATTTAATTATTCCATTAAGTATTGTAAGTTCTAAATAAGTTCTTAGTACTAAGTTTATTTCATTTCATTGGTTTAAAAATTTTCAATAAATTATTTGTTTTGATTTGTTAATTGCTTTTAGTTAAATTGATTTTATAGTTTTAATTTTTTTGTTTATTTAACTATATAATACTTAAAAGTTTAATCATATCATTATCAATTATTTACATAAATTATTTTCATAATTTATCACATTATAGTTTCATAATTTCATAAATTTATCACATCAATTATTGTATAAAAGTTTAATCATATTATTATTAATATACTTTTTTGTAAAAACATATTTGAACTAATTTCCACAAGGCTGTGATGAGAGAAAATGGAGGACCACTTTTGTTCTGGTCGCTACTATTTTTTCCAGTTATATATTTTTAAATAGTTTGTGATTCATAGTTTTATACCCTCAAAATATAACCTAATATAAAATTAAATATAAAAAAATTTAATCTAATTTTTCTATATAGAAAATGAAGGAACGTTTTAATATTAATATGCCTCATCGTTTTAATCCTAAAAATTATCTTGGACCAGCTTTTTGTGATCACTGTGGATCATTGCTCTACGGATTATTTCGACAAGGTTTAAATTGTGAAGGTATGCACTGTAGTTGTATTAAACAATTTTTAATTCAACAGATTTTATTATTTACAAAATTAAAATTTTTCTGAATAACATTATTGTAATATGCAATTACATATTCATAAAGTTATGGTTACAGATATCTGTAGTCTTAGTTTTTAGTAGTCATGGTTTTAACAGTTACTCCATTTTTTTTTTTCAAATTTGTTGTTATGTTCAAAATTGCTCAAATTCATATGATGCATTATTTAAATGTTTTACTCAATTTTTAAAAAAAGTTTAGTTTTTACAAGGGTTACTATGGTTATAAATTACCCATGATTCTGCTTGTTAAATATAAAGTAATCATAGTCATAATAACAGATAGTCAATACAAGATTCACAAGTCACAAGTTTAATTTTGAATTTATGTTGAAAACTGTTTATTTATCTTGCCCAGACTACTAATAATTGCACAGAAATCTAAAAAATTTTCAAAATTAGCAGACTAGCAGTCCATTAATCATCTCATATTTTCTTGAGTCAGATATTTTTTTCTAAAACAATAATTTCTTAGTGATGTTGATGCTCTCCTTACTGAAATTGAGAATGGAAATGCTTTAATCAGTTTTAATTCAAGCACCACATAACAACTCAACACTCAAATAGTGACACTAACACAGCCAATAAATCCAACAACTAATGTTAAGCAAATGTGTTCTGTAGATGAGTTCAAAACCTTTGTTATAAAAAGCGTTATAGTTGTTAAAAATGATCTTTGCTACACTCCATGTATTAGAGATGAAATTTCAAAATTCTCAAAAGAAGATAATAACATCAAGTCAAATGGATGCATTGAATGGATGCTTCGCATTCATTTGACATAATAATAGATGTTATTGAAAAATTTTAATGATGATGTGAAAGTTTTTTATCCAATGTTTTACAATTTTGCTGGTCAGAAATTTTTGAATTTTTGAAAAATCTTATAAATAAAACCTCAACTCTTGTAGGATACCTTTTACCTTGCTAATCATATTTTGGCTCACTTAACGAAGTCTAAAAATGCAGCCTCAGTTTTATTTTTTGGTAATGCAATTCAGTTTACAGAAAGAAAAAAAACGTTAATTGAATATTTGGGAGTGTATGTGTTGAGTACTTTTTATTGAAGGAATTGTAATTCAAAATATTGCAAAAAAGATTTGTTTAAGAAACACTCCTAATTTTGTTGGCCAAAAAAAAATCATAGAAAACTAATAGAAAATTTATTTTTAAAATTGAGATGATCTTTAGTCTGCATCATCTGATTCTTTTTTACTATTTAGAATAGCAGAAATAGTATTCAGAAATTCAACAAAAATTTTGAGTAAAAATATCAACTGCAGCTAGATGACAGCAGAAATGCTTTAAGATGTTGAGGTTTTATTTTTTCAAAAATTTATAATGCTAGTTCTACTAAGGTATCTATAGAAATGTCTCTAAATCTTCTAGACCACCTTTTAACACTTTATTTTTGTGTTTGCTCATTTAATTTTAAAAGGAGCTTGTATACTTGCATAAAATCAAGTTTAAGAAAAAAAGAACAAATTTGTTAAGAAAAGAAATCAAAAAAGTATTTTTGAACTCCACTGAATAAAGATTAGACATATAAAAAAGGTTATTTTCATAGCCACAAATTTTATTAAAAACAAATTCTAATTTACAAACTCTATTGCAGCACAATAGAGAGATGCGATAAGTATCGAGTGGACATGGAAAAATCTGGTCAACTTTAAATTGAGATTTCTCTGAAACCATAGCTTTTTATTTCTTTTATTTTTTTATTTAAACTTTGCTTCCTTTTATTTAATTGTGTTGATTACCGTAGTAACCGTTGTTTACAAATCAATAATTTGACAAATGTTTTGAAAACAAATTGAGGTGCATAAAAACAATGTGAATTTTTTTTGCAAAAATCCATTGCTTGATTAGTAAACGCACAAATGTCTTTAAATCTACAGTCATAGGTTAGAATTGAGCCATACTCCAGAAAACCATGATGGATTAAACACCTATGCATGGATTTATAACTGACTTATGACTAAAAAGCTAGCCCAGGCATTTTCCACAGACAAAAATTCTCTTTCGTGGTTTATCTCCTCTGTGGCAGCCCCAGTCATTATGGAGAAGAGAAGCATCCCAGACTTTATTAAAGGCCTTTGATATGTCAAGAGCAAGAGACCTTATTTTGCCACCACCATCTAATACATGATAAAAACTTTCTGTAATTAACAACAGTTAACAAGTGAGCTGTAACACAAGAAGATTGAAATCCAAATTGAAGCTAAGAAAGTAAGTTCAGCCTGAGATTTCTTGATTAAAGACTTTTCTTTTAAATTTTTTGATGGTCTCTAAATAGGTTTTAATTGGTATACATTATCCAACCGAAAAACAATAAGTTTAAGACTATTCAAAGCGAAAAAACAAATAAGTTTAAGACTATTCAAAGATTTAAAAGAAAAACCTGGAAGTGGATGAAATAAAACTTTTCATAAATTCAAAAAGGTAAAGTTGATTCTCAGTTTAATAGCAATAAATCCAAACCAGTCACAGCGAAATCAAGCAAGAAAATTCAAGACTTCGTGTTCCTATATCATAAAAGTACTTAAAAATGCTGGAATTGAAGTATTTTATAAGAAAAATACACCTAAGAGAAACTTAAATGGTGAAATTAAAGGAATTCGATGTGCAAAGAAGTTGGCTTAATTTATGGCGGATGAATGGATATGCATAATATAAGACGACAAAACATATTGCAATGCGGATTTTTCACAACTTCCTGGTCAACAATTTTACTATAAAAACAAAGATAAACTTGTCAATGATCTATTTAAATATATACGACGAAAAAATTTGCATCTAAGATTTTTGTTTGGCAAGCAATTTGTAGCTGTGGTATGCAGTCCTCTTGTTTTATCACTAAAAAGACCTTGGCTGCCGATCTTTACATCAAAGAATATCTCCAAAAAAGACTTTCGCCACTCATGTCTTTTTTGGCTAGATCTTGCCGGTTCTCACTATTCAAAAAAATTTCTACAGTGGTGCAAAGATAATAATGTGAAAATTGCTTCTAAAGTTGCAAATCCTCCAAATTGTCATGAAAATTTTGAAAATTTTTGATCAATAGTTAAAGGAGTTCTTCGTAAGACAGGTGGAGTAACAAAAATTAAAAAAGACTTCCAAAAAAGTGGATTAATGCCACCAATAAGGAAAAAAAAGAAAAAATCTGCAAAAAGATGACATCAACCTCCTATAAAATTCGATTTCTCGGCAAACATCCTATCCAACCCTTTAAAATTTAGTTGAAACCCTAACTAATGTAAACACATTTAATATTTAAAAAATTGAAATAAAAAGCATTTATGATTTCAGAGAAATCTCAAACTAAAGTTGATCGAATTTTTCTGTGTCCACCTGATAATTAAGTGAAAACCAAATGAAGTTATGTAAGTTTTTGTTTTAAGTAATAATATCAAATAATGTAGTGAATCACTACTACTTGGTTTGATCACTAATAATTAGGGTGATAAAACCAAGTAGTTTAAATAGTTATTTTATTTAAATAATTTATATATATATATATATATATATATATATATATATATATATATATATATATATATATATATATATATATATATATATAAATTAGTTAAAACACTTATCTAATTTTTATTTTCTTCTACAGCATGTCTCTCCATCAGTAGTATCATCAGGAAAAATGTCTAAACATCAAAAAATCAAAGAATTTTTTAATGTTTAGACATTCTTCCTGATGATCCTACTGATGGAGAAACATGCTGTAGAAGAAAATAAAAATTAGATTAGTGTTTTTACTAATTTATTAATGCTCTGTTCTTTAAGAACATTGGGCACTCTATTTGTAGAATACACTAACATAATTTATATATATATATATATATATATATATATATATATATATATATATATATATATATATATATATATATATATATATATATATATATATATATATATGTATATTTCTGTAAATTGTTGCATTTGAGAGTATAGAAAGTAAAAAATGATTCTTTTGACAACAAAACCATTAGATAAAGGTGGAGAGGTTAAGGCCATCACTCTTGACATTTCTAAAGCGTTTGATAAAGTTTTGCATGCTGGTTTTCTCCATAAGCTTTCTTCTTACGGTGTATCTGGAAACATCTTTAAGATTATTGAATCTTTTCTTTCCAATCGTAGTATAAAAGTTGTCCTTGATGGACAGCACTCTTCTTCTTATTCTGTAACCTCAGGGGTTCCTCAAGGTTCAGTCCTTGGTCCTATACTCTTTTTAATTTACATTAACGATCTTCCAGATATTCTCACATCTAAGGTGGTATTTTTCGCTGATGATACTGCCATTTATTCTTGTCATGATAAGAAGCCAACTCCCTCTGATTGCTTGCAGGGGGCATCTGAGCTTGAAAAGGATCTCACTTCTGCTACAGCATGGGGCTCACAGTGGCTGGTGAGCTTTAATTCAGATAAAACTAAATTTTTTTCGGCCAATCGTTATCGCAATATTTTAGACCTTCCTATATTTATGAACGGTAATGTACTCGATGAGTCTCCTACCCTTCATCTTCTAGGATTAACTCTTACTTCTGATCTTTCTTGGAAACCTTATATCAAATCCATTGCAAAATTAGCATCTGCTAAAGTTGCTTCTCTTTATCGAGCTCGTCACTTTCTTACTCTGGATTCTATTCTCTATCTCTATAAATCTCAAATCCGGCCTTGTATGGAATACTGTTGCCATATCTGGGGCGGATCTTCTAATGATGCCCTTTCTCTTTTAGACAAGGTGCAAAAACGCATTGTAAACATAGTTGGACCTGCTCTTGCAGCCAACCTTCAACCTCTGTCACATCATCGTAATGTTGCTTCTCTTTCTCTTTTCTACAAATACTATAATGGGCACTGCTCTAAAGAGCTAGCGTCTCTTGTGCCATCTACTAAAATTCATTCTCGTGTTACTCGTCATTCAATCATCTTTTTTCTGTTACTGTTCCTAAGTGCTCCAAAAACTCTTATTCGTCTAGTTTTTTTCCTCGAACATCAGTTCTTTGGAATTCGCTTCCTTCATCATTTTTTTTATAAATTGTAAAAACGCAAATTTAATTGGCCAGAATGTTTTTTAAAAATATTCTAAATCTTTTTTTTTTTTTTTTTAATAAAATGTTTTTTTTGTTTTTTTTACTGTATATCATGCGCAGGGTGTTGCTACATCAACTATCTTATAGCCTGCTGCTACAAGGAAGTGCTGCTACATCGACTATCTTATAGCCTGCTATAAGATAGTAGATATAGTTAGGTTGTCAGAAAGTTTTTCTGACAACCTAACTACATCGACAATAGTTAGGAGTTAGTTAACCCTGTAAAAAAAAAAAAACTTAAAATAAATTGTTTTGCACCAATTAAAGCCTTTATAAGGTTTGTGGTTATGAAAATAGCAGTTTTAAATTTCCTGTTTTTTATGAGCTTATTTTTTGTTACGATTTTGATATGGTAATCTTTCCTCGGTAAAAGCCTTTCAGGATTATTAACAAGACTATTAGTTCCTATTATTGGTTTGTACATTGGCAATTGTATTGTATCATAGGATCTTATTGTATTGACATTATAGCCAATATCGTGTCATCATATTAAGTTTATTTAAGTAATTTATCCCTATTTTTTTATCAGTTATTTTATTTTGAAACTGAAGGTATTAGCATCCTTTACAAATATCTTTTTTTTTTAATAACAACTTCACATAAAAGAGCTTGGGTATGTTTAGTGTAAAGGTTAAGAATAACTATTAAATAATTCAAACCTTTTAGGTATAACCTGAAGAAGATAGCCTCACTATATATGATAGCAAAATTGAAATAAGATTACAAACAGTTATATGAAACACTGATCTTTTTAAATGCAAGTATATTTCATGATTATCTGGCAAAGCCCAGAAAAATATATGAATAGTTAACTATAGGCTTTTATCAATATAAATTTAGTACTTAGGAATAGTGTGAATATCATCCGTCTTATTCAATTTTAAAAAAGTGTCATTATTATTTTCATTCCAGTCAAGTTTTTGTAGACGTTTGACCAATGATTTATCCTTTTTGTAGACGTCTGACCAATGATCTTTTATATGATTTATTCTTTAAAGATTTATATGATTTAATATGAACTGCTTTATCTGATAGGAAAAGGAAAGTTTGATTTCTATAGGGATATAAAAAAAGATGCTCATGCTTTAGGAATTATTATACATGAAGAAGAATATGGCTGATTTTTTACATATTGAAATATTAACTTACCTACTTACAACTACAATTATTATACATGAAGAAGAATATGGCTGATTTTTTACATATTGAAATATTAACTTACCTACTTACGACTACAATTATTATACATGAAGAAGAATATGGAATTTAGGAATTATTATACATGAAGAAGAATATGGCTGATTTTTTACATATTGAAATATTAACTTACCTACTTACAACTACAATTATTATACATGAAGAAGAATATGGCTGATTTTTTACATATTGAAATTTACATATTGAAATTGATTAACTTACCTACTTACAACTACAATTTTGCTAAAAGTTTAAAAATTCATTTAGGAGTTTTTAGCGAAGAAAATTATTCATGTAATTTTTTGTTCATGTTCTAAAAACTTTGATTAAATTTGCTGTTAGTTTAGTTAAAAAAAATTTTATCATCAAAAACTTTTATTTGTTTTAAATTAACAAATTTTATTTTTCACAATAAAAATTTTTTTTTAAATAGTTATGTTTTTTTTGACATTTGTTTAATAGTTATGATTTTTTATTATTATGTTAATTTGATCATTATTTATTAATATCATATTTTGTAGATTTCTTTATAATATGTTTATGTAGTATTAGTTTGGCAAGATTTGTTTATAAAGTTATGATTTATTGAAGTTATATATCCAATTGTCAATCATTGATATTATATTTGTTAAATATTATATTTGTAGTTCATCACAAAAATTTTTATTTTAACAAAAAAATTTTAAATTTTAGCATGTAACACAAATGTTCACTTTAAGTGCAAAGCCAAGGTTCCAAATTTGTGTGGAATCAATCAGGTTCTTTTTGCGGAAGCCATCAAACATGTTGAAGTAAGTTTTGAAATATTTTATAGGTATGAAGTTCCAAATTCTTTATACTGTTGTTATTTACAGCTGTTTAGCTTTATATTAAAAGTAAGCCACTTTATATTAAAAGTAAGCCACTGATTTTGTATGAAGTAGGTGTTAAAGTAAAGCTGTTTATTACTTTTGTGTGTAAAACACAAAACCTTATAAAACAAACAGTTAAAAAACCAGCTAAAAATTTTTATTTCAAAACATATATGTTATATATAGTGATATATGTTTCTTGTTTGTAATTCTAGTTATTTTTCTATCTTATAAAATATTTTACAATAAATAATATAGATGGAAAAAAAGAAGCGTGATAGTGTATTAGAAGACAGTGAGTTAATAAATATGGAGGATGAAACTACATTATATGAGTCAGTATGGGAACATTCAACTATACAACCTACTCCTCCAAAAAGAACAGCTAGTATTCGTCCTGAAAGCAAAAAGAGACGCTATGACATTAATGATTTTAAATTTTTGAAAGTTTTAGGAAAAGGAAGTTTCGGAAAAGTAAGTTTTTTTGTTATATTATATATATATATATATATATATATATATATATATATATATATATATATATATATATATATATATATATATATATATATATATATATATATATATATATATATATATTACATATATATATATATAGAAATTAATACTTAGACTTAAGAGACTTAAGAAGCTTACATTAATGGGAAACAAAGTTTTTCATAAAAAAGATGTTATATATCTTAAATGATAAATTTTGATTTATCGCTATAATGATCAAATTATTGATGTTATAAAAATGATTTTAAATGTAAAAGACCCCTAAATTTAGTTTTAGTAAGTAACAAGCTTTAAAGTTGTTAAAGCAGCTAAGTATAAATTTTAAATTTATACCTAGCTGATATGAACTGAAACTGAGTAACACGGTTTAATGCGGTAGTGGTGTAGTGGTAGAGCGCTCGCTTCATAAACGAGTGGTTCCGAGTTCGATCCCCACCACGTCCCTGGTAGTACCGCGCTCAACTCGTTTCTCCGCGCAGCGGCCTTGTTCGTCAAGGTTCGTGTTTCGGAGTTATAGAGTTGAGAGAGGGTTATAGCCACAAATAAGTAGCCTCCTCGTCTGTAGTGGCCGTCTCGGCCTTGAGGAGGTGAATTAAAATAAAAAAAAAAAAAATAAAAAAAAAACACAAAATGTTCTGCATAAAGGGCCAGTAGCACCTTGAAAAAATTAAAAGCAAAATATTGACCATTGGACAAGAGTATCAGAAGGGATTTCAAATCCGCCTATTCAGATAGCTTATTAATTATAATAATTTGTTGTTTCATCATAAATTTTTATTTCATTTTTTGCACATTGCCAGTTAAGTAAACTATAGCCAATAATGTAGATTTATAAACTGAGCTTTTAAGATCATGTATATTACCCAGCAGTTCTTTTTCATCAGTAGAAATATCTCTACAACATATGTCACAATGACCATCGATACCATCTACAAGAATGTCAAGTTGTTATATCAATTTAGTATCTTTGAATATGAATTTTTTAAATTACAAATTTAGCATTTATAAAGTAAGTACCTCCAGATCCCTGATGAAGCTTAGAAAAAGTTTTTTCAAGTGGGTCTGTTGAAAACCAATCTAATAAGACATACTTTGGTATGTTTTATTAGGTTAACCAAATAACTGAATGCCAGCACCAAGTGCTTTGACATTAGCAACATTCCAAAAAGGAATTTCAATAGATACAGCAATACCTTTAAATGCTTTATTTTCAATCTTTGGATGCATTCTTATTTTTTAATTACTGATTTAACATTTATAAAATACCTTTAGCAAAAACTTCCATTCCTTTATTTTCAATATCTGGATGCATTCAAATGGCAGCTACTGTTACTTAGCAAAAAAACACATAGACAAAACTTTAAAGTCTCTCTTGGTTTTGGATAAATAGATTTACCTGTAAGTTTAAAAAAACTAATGCACTTTATAAAGTTTTCAAATCAGTTTTATATAAAGTTTTCAAATCATTCCATTTGGTCAAAACCAGTTCTCCATTGTGCAAAAATTGAAGGTTGACAATTTTTTCTGTCAACCAGTTGTTTTGTATAGGTTTTAAGACATACAAAAGATAAGATAAAGATCATATAATAAATATAATAGTTGTTAACTATGGTTTGTTTTAAACATTTCAAAAAATTGTTGATTTACAAAGTTATCATCGGTAATAATTGCTGGTGTCTTGCTAATACCATTATTACATATTTTATCAGCACATTTTTAACATTGAGCAAATTGAAATTCAGGAAAGATTTGGAACAGGTTGAGCTCTACATGTAAATTCGGGACCTCAAAAAAGACATTTAATTATAAATGATAACATTGTTGTAGCTAACCTTTCAGGGTAGTTTACTACATGACCAAACAAAGCACCTTTTTGGTAAATGACATAAACCTCATCAATTAAAAGTTTGAAATTTAGGTCTTTCATTAAGCTTTTTTTTGAGGTCAATTTTAAAGTTTGTATACCTGATAACTTGTAGTCGATACACAAACGGTTGTATAAACTGCATTGCATAGCAAAATACTTATATGATATATGGTTTATAAAAGTTAACCTACATTAACTTTTCTCATAGCATTAAGGTGCTCAACTAGAATATTTGACTGATGTGAACTTTCTTTAAAAATCTAATGCTTCAAATAAAGCTGAATTTGCTTTTATTAATTTTGATTTATTAGCAGTTAAAAAATAAATAATGGTACATTTTTGATTGTATGTGTAAATGTTTTTGCTGGAAAACGATAACATTGTTATTGTCACTTTACAAATATAAATTAACTTTGGTACTGCTAATATATTTCGAGAATTTCAAAAACTGCTTGAAGTTACAGTTTATCTAACTTTACTTGCTGGTGTGGGTAAACAACTAGGCAAAGTATTTTTAAAAACAGATTAAAGGTTTAATAGCCATTGCTTCCTGTATTTGGTTTCAAAAGGTGCATTATCTGGTCAATGCAGTCAACAAACTGCTGCATAGTCTAAAACAATAAAATCTGCTCTTGGTTTAGCATCGCTCCATTTTTATTTTTCCTCTAAATTCTTTGGGAATTTATAAATTGATTTTTTTTTTCCAGTTAAGTGATATTTCGACTTGCAAAGAGGTATACAGTATTTCAAAGGCATCTTTAACTATTAAAATTGTTAGTTTAACAACATTCTAGCTGTTAACTTTTAGATCTTGAAGTTGCGCTATCAAATTTATAAGATTTACTAAAAAAGCACAAACTTTTGTCTAAAATTAAAAAATGAAAATGTAAACACAGTATTATAAATCAACCTTTGCTCAAACAATTTTACTGCACAATGTCAAAGGCTGTTATTATAGAAGGCCATGAATTGAAATAATAATAATTGAAAACTCTAAAAAAAAGTTTAATAAAGGTTTATAATACTGATTTACTTTAACTAAAGTTTTTTTTAATTCAATTAAAAAAAATAAACTAAGCATAGTAAAAAGATATTGTGTAAAGTAAATTATTTGCAATTACTATTTAAGTTTTTACATTAAAAAAAATTTTATTCAGAACAAGGTCAATTTTCTGTTTATTTATGACAAAAAAAAATATTTGATTTTACTTTTAAGTAAAATATTAGTTATATTATTAAATATTTAAGTAATATATTATATAAATATTATAAGTATTATATTATTAAGTAAATATTATATTATATAAATATTAGTTATATGTTAAATATTTAAGTAATATATTAGTTAAAACTAATATAATTTTACTTAAATATTTGAGTTGTTTAAATGTTAGGAACACAACTTGCTTTAGAATTTGCCCTAGTTTTTGCATGTATTATTTTATAAGGTATTGTTGGCAGAAGTACCTGCAGAAAACAATGCTGTGTATGCTGTCAAAGCTTTAAAGAAAGATGTTGTTCTTGAAGATGATGATGTTGAATGCACTTTAGTTGAACGAAGAGTATTGGCATTGTCGACTCGGCATCCTTACCTCACTCATCTAATGGCTACTTTTCAAAACGAAGTAAGAATGTTAGTATTTTTAAAATATTAAGGTTAAAATGTTTTAAACATTTACAAAAACTATTCAATTTAAAATGTTTTTATTATTTTAAATATTTACAAAAGCTATTCAATTTAAAATGTTTTTATTATTTTAAACATTTACAATAAAAAAATTTTTAATATATAAAGTAACTATTATTATTACTCTTTTATCAAATATTCAAAATTTTATTTTTAATTATTTGCATTTCGGAAAAATATTTATTGGATTCACAACTAGCTGTTTCAATATACACAATGTATTCACAGCAGTTTCGGTGTGTCAGGTGTTGTTTTATATCAAATATTTTAATCTATCAGGTATTTTGATATATCAAGTACTTCGATCAAGTTAGATAAATAGGAAACAAATATCAAATACATAGTTGCAAAAACTAACTTTGACCAAATCAATAATATTTTTTTTCAAGTTATATTTAGCTGGCAGAAACATGTTTTGAAATACATCTTTAAAATCCTATAGGGAATTTTTTATGACATAGTTTCACATTTATTTGTTTAATCATCCTCATCATAAGAGACTTAGAATACCTAAAATTGTTTCAAATATGCTATTTGTTATTGTTAACTAAAATTATCATGTCACTCTTACCTCCATTGTTATTTATTTAGTTGGATTTAATAAAAACTACATTTAAGGGTCTTAGGTTGAGTTTTTAATTAATCTGTTAATATATTTTAACTGGCATATGTGGCATTTAAACAGTGCCCAATTAGATTATTCTAGATCTTTCTAGATCACATGGATGGTCACATGGATGTATATATACTATCTTTGTGATTGCATGGGTTCTAGATTATTCTTGTCTATGATTTTGATGTCTGCAATCAATCAATCAATATAAAGTATTATGTTCAAATTTTTGCTTTTTGAACATTTTTTTTTTTTATAAAATTAAGGAGAAAGGAGTAGGCTTAAGGAGATAATAGTAAGTTTTGTTTGTTTTTAGTAAGTTTTTTTGTTTTGTTTTTTGTACAAAATTTGTTATGCGTAACAAAAAAGTTGCCCTGAATATTGATGTGAAATATCAACTGGACATATTTATAAGATGAAAACTCCTAGTGATGAATCTCATTTGTTGGTGGTATCATATACTTTAACAAAGGTTTTATCAAAAAAAGTTCAAAACAAGGGTGAAAAGGACAAAACAAGCTCAAAATTGAACTGTAGCTAACTGAGATACTTGTAAACCTCTAATGACAGCTATTAAAGATAGATTTATTGGTATTTATTTACACCATTTCAATAACTACTAACAAAAGGTTGGTAAAATACTTACTTTATTTATATAGGCAGAAAAATTTTTGAAAGCTATAGAACTTTATATCCTCAATGACATTGAAGTAGTTTGTTTATCTTCACACACCAGTCTGCAAGGTTATAAAACAAAAATTTTATCTAAACAACTCTCTGACAGATCATTATTGTTTATACATTATGACCAATTCTATCTTGTTTTTAATAGTTCAAGGTAAAAGATTACTTTAGATAGAGGAATTGTTGTATTTGCTTGCCGTAAGCTGTGCTTAAACATAACACTGAAACATAAGTATAAAAAGGCAAGGCATTCAAAGATGGTAATAAATTTCAATAAGATTATGTAGAAGTTGTTATTACTAAGAACTTGTGCTGAAAACATTAAACAACTTAACAAATAGTAAAAAAAAAAAAGAAAAGTTAAAGAATAGGTTTTAAGATGTTTTTTTCAATCTAATAAAATTTATTGATTTACAGAAGCCATCAATGGATTTATTAGAAAACTAGCTCATCTACAACAGAAATGCTCAAATATGTTTCTGTTGTGGATAAGCATGAAGTCTGGTATTTGTATTCATGTTTTGAAAACTTGAATTTAAAGTTGAACAATATTTTAACTATGATGATGAAGACACCAATGACACTAAAATTATTAAAAGCTTACATTTTTTGACAAAAATCAGTTAATAATCACTCTAATTCAAAATTGTTTACACACAATAACTAAAAGTAAAAGACCTTTATGAGCTAGTGAATCCAAGTTAACAACACAACTTGTGTCTTTAAGAGCCTTCATCAAATAATTCTCAATTTAAAGAGGGGTGTAATAGGGTGAAGTTCTTGAAACAGTTATAGCATTGATTGCTTCTTTAAATTTCGGTTTCATGACATTATCAGAAACATCTTAACATTAGTTCTTTGTAGGATTTCTCCTTAGTGTTAATAGCATTATATCCAAAAACTTCTGTAATGATATCTTTAGTGTTAACAAAGTTATATCCAAAAACTTTCTATGAGGATATACTCATCTGATAACTTGTGGGTAATACAAACATCAAAGTCTACTAAATTTTTTAACCATATGATAAAAACTGCGTTGAATTTTGTCTTTTGTTCAAGATTATTTTATCTTTTTGTTCAAGATTATTTTGTCTTTTGTTCAAGATTATTTTCTTTTTTCTTTTATCCTTTTTAACATTTAAGTCATAAAAAGGATTGTTATAATCATTTCTTTTTTCACAGCCACCTCTAGTATTTTCTTTTTTCACAGCCACCTCTAGTATTTTCTTTTTTCACAGCCACCTCTAGTATTTCTGATTTCTTGAAACATTTTATAAAAGCTTAATATGTAGTGAAATTTTATATTTTTTTCTTGACTCAAAATTTTTTTGAAAATTTATCTTATTGACTTTTTCCAATCTGCTTTTTCAATGCAAATGAAAAGTTTTAGCTTTCAGAGATTAATAATTCTTTAATCCACTAGTTTGATCTACCAAGTACAGCCAATTGTGCAAGGTTGAATTTGGTTGAAGAAAGATAAGATTCAACTAATCATACTTTTGCATGTTTAGGTGGACAGAGCAAATATCTTTAACCAAGGCAATTTTTTTTTTTTTTTTCTTTTCTCAAATATTTTTGTTAACATTCAAATTTTCGATTGGTCCTAATAGCAACAATTAATGTGTTTTATGCTTTTGATTAAAGAACATTGATTAAAATGGCTTTATTTGTTGACATTAAAAATATTTGAAATAAAAGTTAATGAACAAATAATTGCTCTTGCAAAACAATCATTTGTTCAGTACTTAACTTTGCAGAAACAGTTTAGACAAGGCATACTTTACCTACAGAAAACAAAAAAAAAGTGAATTGTTTTAATGTTTAACTTTGACCTTGAACATTTTCTTTTTCTTAAACCAGACACAAAAGATCTTTTTCTTTTTCTTAAACCAGACACAAAAAACAGCTATCCATTTGAAGATTGAAAACTCTAGTAATCAACCCTTTTCCAAAGTACAATGTAATTTGCAAAGTATAATGTCATTTCTTTAATAAACAAACCATTAACTGAGACATTTTCAGTTTTAAAATAATATTTAATGAATAAATTCATAAAATCTTAAAAAAAAATTCATAGCTTAATATAAAAAATTTTAAGTGGAGAATTTTATTAACATCTCTTAATCTCTTTTTTTTTTTTTTTTGTTTTTAACTAAAAAATTTCAAGAAAATTATAGTCAAAACTGTACTTTCATTATTTTAGAGTCATTTATTTTTTGTTATTTTAGAGTCATTTATTTTTTGTTATGGAATACTTGAATGGTGGAGATTTAATGTTCCACATACAGTCCTTTGGCAAGTTTGACGAAAACAGAGCTCGTTTTTACGGAGCAGAAGTTGTTTGTGGGCTTCAGTTTCTTCATAAAAACTTAATTATATATAGGTATTTTTCTTCTTAGATTTGTGTGAATGTGCTTATATATCTATAACTTATATATGTGCTTAATTATAACTTCAAAACATACATAGCAGCACATCCAAAGTAGTTTTTCTGATTTGCTTTTTTTTTTAATAAGAAATGTAAGGTTACACTTGAGTAGCTTTCGCTGTTTTATCTGTTGTTAAGAATAGCAACAGTAACGAACAGTAATATCACTATAAGATCTTAGCAAAAAAAATAGTTTGACTTTTTAAGTTTTTTTGTTTTGTTTTTTGTACAAAATTTGTTATGCGTAACAAAAAAGTTGCTCTGAATATTGATGTGAAATATCAACTGGACATATTTAGTTTGATTTTTTTTTTTTTTTTTTTGCCAAATCAGTTTATGAAAAATGATATTGAGTTTTTTTATCTATTAAATTAAAAACTTAAATTTAAAACTTTATTGACAATTGTTTTAATTTATCAAGAGCAATATTACAAGTTATAAATAAGTTAAAAAAATTATAAACAAATAATTTAGTTAGACTTTAATTTTATTAAGGGATTTAAAATTAGACAACATTTTGCTTGATCGTGAAGGCCACATAAAAATTGCAGATTTTGGCATGTGTAAAGAAGATATGAACGATGGAGTCAAAACAGCTACATTTTGTGGAACACCTGACTATATTGCTCCAGAGGTTGTTTTTTTTTTTTTTTTTTTTCTCTGTAATTTTAAAAGTTTAAAATTTGTTAAGCGAGTTGATAAGCGAGTTTAAAATTTTGATAAGCGAGTTGGTATGCAAGTTTAAAATTTGTTAAACGAGTTGATGAGCGAGTTTAAAAGTTTGATAAGCGAGTTGATAAGCAAGTTTAAAAGTTTATTAAGCAAGTTGATAAGCAAGTTTAAAAGTTTAAAAAAATTTATATAATGAATAGTTATTTTTTTTTATCATTATTCTTGTAACTATAGTTAGTTATAATAATTAACATAAGTCATTTAATTATAAGTCATTTTATTATAACATATGAAAATATTCTGTTATGTTTATTATATCATTAGTTTATTAATAGATACTTAAAGCTCAGCGATATGATTCTTCAGTTGACTGGTGGAGTTTTGGTGTTCTTCTATATGAAATGCTGATAGGTCAATCACCATTCTCTGGTGAAGATGAAGATGTTCTTTTTGCAAACATTTGTCGTGATAAGTTGTACTTTCCTAAGTGGGTCTCTGAACCTTCTGTATCTATTCTAGGTCAAGTAAGATTTTTTACTTTATTCTACATATCATTTTTTTGAACTTCGAAAATAAAAAAAAACTATAGGAATAAAGTTATAATCAATATATTACATGTTTTTAATAAATCTTTTATGAAATATAAAATAAAGTTTATGCAGATTTTGTGAATTTTTTTTTTAGAAATATATTGAAAAGACTAATTTTGTTAATTTTTACTTTTTTTAATTTTTACTTTTATTAATTCTTTTATCATTAGATACTACCAATCTAAACCCTAATACGTTAGTTGTGTACCTTTTTCTGTTTTTATTTCAGTATAACCTCATCAGTTATGTTTTGTGACCACCAAATTTAGCAGTAAGGCTGTAATAGTTTTAGGAATCCCAACTTTTAGTTATAATTAAACTCTTTTGATAAAGTATTTTCATTACATACATTAAAATTTTGTTATGTATGCAATGAAAATGTATTTATTATTTAAAAATAGTAGATGGTCCAACTGCAGGTCTAGCGACATTTAATCTAAAAAATAGAAAAGGCAGTTTTGTAGATTTTCAAACAATATCAATAATAGATTTTAAAGGACTGCACTAAAGTATAAGGATTTGTTGCAACATTTGACAAGGAGATTGTTTTTAATTAATTTAACATGATTAATTAATTTGACTTATTTTAATAAAAAAAATTATTTCTTGGTGCTTGACTTTGTACAAAATTGTTTAGAAAATACATGTAACATGCAGAGTCTGGGACTGTGCACCTCAGATTACTAATACAAGCCAATAGAGTTTTGTATTTTCAAATGTTGTAAGAAAATCTAACCCTTTATCAATCTTTTTCTAATCACTGCCACACTGTATGCTTCATTAGAGTATAAGATTTCCTTATTAAGCTTCATCTGCCACATTTTAATTTTTACCACTCGTATTATTTTTGTAAGCACAATTTCTGACAACAACAAAGAAATAATAACATGAGCAGCTTTAATTATAATCTCTGCAATATTGCTTGCAATATTTATTGCAATAAATCTTTAAATATTGGTGCATTTATTTTAATTTTAATTTATCTTTAGCAATATATCTTTTAATATTGTATTTACTTTAATTTTACTCTGCTGTTTTTATTAAAAACCTCTCACTTAATCTTTCTACTACACCTTTTCAAGATGTAATTGAGAAAACAAAAATTGTAATTAAGAATCGTAAGATGTAATTGAGAAAACAAAAGTTGTAATTAAGAAACGTAAGATGTAATTGAGAAAACGTAAGTTGTAATTAAGAAACATAAGATGTAATTTAGAAAACGAAAATTGTAATTAAGAATCATAACATGTAATTGAGAAAATGTAAGTTGTAATTAAGAAATAGAAAGATATAATTGAGAACACAAAAATTTTAATTTAGATATCGCTTTAAAGGAGTAAGTGTAAAATGGCGCTTAAAAAAAATGGCGCGTAAAAAAATGGAGCGTATAAAATGACGCACTTAAAAATGAAGCAAGATTTGTAGCGTAAATTTAATTTTTTAGGGAAAAATTTAGGGAAAAATTTATAATTTTTGGGCATATGAATTTAACATAATAAACACTAAAAACATTTTAGGGAAAAATTTATAATTCAATTAAAAATTTTAATTAAAAATTATATAATTAAAAATCACTTCATTGATCATTAAAGCACCAACTTGTACGTCTTCCATATTTAAAATAGTTGCATAGTGCGTGGTTGCGTGTTGTACCGCACGTGCACAATCTCCTCCCATTATAGTATTTTTCGCCTCAATTACAATTCGTTCTAAGTACTGCATGCGCTGTTCCGCAATCCCGTCACCTAATACAGGTGGAATGCGAATTGCATTTTTAACGTTACTTTTAATTTTGGACCAGATCGTTTCCACCGGGTTCAACATTGGACTGTAAGGTCCCAAAACGTAACAACTGAGCTGGTGAATTATCAAACACCCTTTGCAAACGAGCGTGACAAGGAGCATTATCTGTTACGACGACCAAGTCCTCCAAACGATTCCCGGATGTAACCCACTGGTGAAACATAGCCAACATCCACTCGTTACAGGAATCTGCTTTAAATGATCCCCTGGGAGTTTCTATCATGACGATATTTGTAGTTGAAATAGCTGCGATCAAGTGTATGTTTAAACCTTTTGATGCAGGTACTTTCCTTGCGTTTTTCTACAAAAAAGGTTAAAATTTGTTTCATCCAACCAAACTATCTGACGACCATTTGTGATATGTTCGTTGATGTTTCTAACATATTCAGCTCTTTTTTGTTTGTTTTCATAACTGTTCATTGTAGAAGGCTCCTTGTGCACTTTTTTAATGAGAACAATCTGCCTTCGAGGTAATTTGCTATTGTTGTTGTGCTAACGTTTATGTTAAATTGTCTTAATATCTTTGTTTTGATGGCCACCAATGTTAATTGACAATCATTTTCAATCCATGTTAATGTTTTTTCGATTTGATCTTCGGTCAACTTTTTCAATTTAAAACCTCCTTTTCTGATGAAATTTGAATTTCCACTGCGAACCCAATTGTATGTTGTCTTATATTTGATACCTAGCGTTTGCACGAGATTCACCCAATCTTCAAATCGCTCCGCACATTCAACAACTCTTCTCCTGTCATTTGGAGAAGATAAAACGTAACGTTTCCTTTTAACTTGTTCAATTGTGTGTATTTCATGCCGACAAATCGGACAACTTGAATCTGGTTGTTCCAGAACTGGGCGTAAACAAATTTGGTGACATAAATATTGACACGGATTTAGCTTAATCACAGACTTTCGGGTCATAGTGTATTGGCATATAACACAACGATCTTTCAATTCCATTATTATTACTTGTGCATACAAAAGCAAAATTTAAGATTATAACTTAAATTCATGTCCAAAAAGACCTTTTGTAACAACTTACAAACTTAGACTGTGAATTTGCTATTTTAATTTATGTGTTCTCAATTACAAGTTACGATTTCTCAATTACATATTACGATTTCTCAATTATATCTTACATTTTCTCAATTACATGTTGTGTTTCTTAATTACATGTTACGACTTCTTATTTACATGTTGTGTTTCTCAATTACATATAACGTTTTCTCAATTACATGTGTTTCTTAATTACATATTACGACTTCTTAATTACAACTTTCATGTTCTCATTTACATCTTGAAAAGGTGTAGTTAATTTGTTTTAAAGGTGACTTTTTCAAGATTTGTTTATTTATTTTATAGTTAATGGAAAGAAATATATCTTTGCGACTGGGCTACACTGGGGGTACTAAACCGCACATTCGGAAACATCCATTTTTCAGTCCAATAGATTGGAACAAGCTTGAAAAGAAAGAAATTAAACCGCCATTTATACCAGATGTTGTAAGTCTTTTTTTTTTTACTATTTTTATTTAAAACAACTTTGTTTGCGATCTAATTTATCCTTTAATCAGACATCTATTTTTTCTTGTTTTTATTTAAAATAAAAGAAATACAATTAATTCTAAAATAAAGGAGAATGCCCAATATTGCTATTTAAAAAATAAAAAATAAAGGAGAATGCCCAATATTGTTAAAATATCTATATTTACTTTAAAAATATATTTAGAGTAATTATATCGCCATCATGCATAAAATTACATATATTTTTTTTTAAATTAAAATATTAGACCATATTTTAATTTTGAAAAAATTATATGTAATTTTATGTATGATGGCGATAATTAGATTTTGTATTATGTTTAACTTAGCAGTGTTTATTCAATTAACAATAGTTAATGCAGAAATAAAAATATTTTACACATATGTTTAAAAGTAAACCAGACAACTATTGCATCTGTTGCTATGTTTGTTAAAATTCTTTTGCAATGAAAGTTATAAAGTTTTGATATATTTTGAAAAGTCTCTGAAATGTATTGCTTATATAATAAAAATCTCTAAAAAAAATCTTTTTACTGGGCATTAAAAAAAAAAACATGTATATTCATATATACCTACATGCATACATACAAACATAAATACATACATACATACGTACGTACGTACGTATGTACATTTATGCATATATTCTGATCTATAAATTATATAGTTTGTAAACAGAAAAAAAAAGTTTAAATAAGGATAAATTCAAACAAAGATATTATATAAAAGAACAAAATGCAAAATGATGCAAAAGTTTGTATGTGGTTTATATATGAAGTTATTAATACTGTTATAATAACAATTTTAGAAAAGCAACAATGCTGTTAACAATTTTGATCCAGATTTTACAATGGAGGAACCCAAACTAACCCCAATGGATGCAAAACTAATGGAATCAATCGATCAATTTCAATTCAAAGGTTTTTCTTTCATAAATCCAGCTTTTCATATTAAACAATGCTAAAGGTAATACTCTTAATGCTACAATTATTTTGCTCAATCGTGAGTTCGAGGCTTATTTCGTTTACCCTGATTTACGTTTTTGGTATCAAAAATTGTGATGTTTGTCTTTTATATTTAGTTAACTTTTCAAATTTATTTATTATTGATTTTAAATTTCTAGTATATTTTTGTTTTCATTTTTTATGATATTTTTTCTAATCTCGAAAAAAACATTTTTTAATATAGAAATAGAATTATTTTTATTTGCAAGATTAACATTTTTACACCCATAACATTTTTGATTGTTTTATAAATGTTGTTCTCATTAAATGTTGTTAAAATGGCATTTTCGATTATAATGCACTTATTAATAACCTTTTCTAAACTTTCTAATTTTTTAAATAATATTTTTTTTTTCTAAATTAACATTCGTTTAATGTGATGTTAAGTTTTTATAACTTTTATCGTAAATCAATCTCAACTATAAAGGTGCTTAAAAAAAACAAAACAAGAACAACTTAAGATTTTTTGTTTGTTTCAAACGCTTTATTCTTTTTTTTTTTTTTTCTTACGTGACTTAATTCCTCTACTATTATTATACTAATATTGTTATTGTTTTTTTTGTTTTGTTTTTGTGTCAATGTTATTTATGATTTTGAGAGCGTGTTTTCATATCAGTTGCTAATTTCTTTTAAGGAATTCTAGTTGCTTAATATTAAATATTTTTATCGAAACCCGTTGTTTTCAGGTATTTGGAAAAGGTTTATTTTAACTTATTAAATGTGTTATAATGGAATTTAGAGAATAAAATTACAGGATAATTTTGTTTGAAATGTATTTATTTGTAAAATTTTAAGCAAGTGAACAGTGTCTTTTTTTTTCAAATAATTGCTATATAGTTTTCTCTCTCTCAGTGCTACCCCAATGTTTACCCCAATGTGTCAAAGCTGTAAACCACTATAACATGTTTTAAGTTGTTACCATCATTATTAATTAAACCTGATTTCATCATAGTGGTAAATATATATATATACTTTTTTTTTTTCTAAAATTTCTTTGCATTGTTCAGAAATTCTAAAAGCATTCAAAAACGTAAATAATTTAAATATTTTATTAAAATAAAGGTTTATTTATTGTTGTTTTTTTTTTAATTGTTAAATTATCATTTATTTAACAAAGTAATCTTATGTGAGTTCACCATCAGCATATAAGTAATTTTGTGTTAGATAATATTTATTGTTTAATTTTTACTTTTTAACTTTTTTGTTTCAATAATAATAATCCACATAGCTTTGAAACTCTCTGTTTGTAAATATATAACAACAATGGATTTTTAGGTAGGTTTAAGGTTAAGGACGATTGACCAAATCCTCAGTCTATAGATTGGAGGTTAATCCATCTATCTGGAACAAACGTTTTCTTAAAAAACGCTACCAGTAACCCTGGTTACTAAAAAATAAACTACTCATCAAAGTACATTTTAGCTCTTGAAAGATACAACCATAGAAAGTTTAGCTCATATTTGTTAATTTATTAACAGTTTTAAAAAATGTAAAAAATAATAAACAAAATGTTACTGAAAGACCTCTTAAAGAAACATAACCATTGTTTATTACAGGTTATAATTATTATTATATTTATTTTAATACAGGTTATAACAAAGTAATTTCTGACCAACGAACAAATTACAGGCAATTTGTATACAGCTATTAAAACCATTAACCTCAAGAAATAGCAAATGTAATTTAAAACTCGTTAAAAAGTAACGGTTTTAGTTTAAAAACTGTAAAAAAAACCTTAAATCTATTGTTGTTATATTCATAAACAGAGATTTTCAAAGCTATGTTGGTTATTGTTATTGAAACAAAAACTTAAAAAGTGAAAAGTAAATGAAAAAAAAAAAACTAATACAACTCTATCAAAAAGGTAAAATAAACTGAGCTGAAAGAAAAAACTACGACTGAAATATTTGTGTATCTTCACATTTTGTGTGCATTAAGAGGTATATTAACGTATTTGCACTATAATTTTAGGCAGATTAACATGAGGTTAACATTTACTTGATTTAGTTTCTTGTGCACTAAATAATATATCCATTGTTAGTGACAGTAGAAATGAAGAACATACGGTATTTCATCTTTTTTACAAGCTATTTTAAAACATCATTAAGGTGAACATTAGGAAGTACATTTCTGTATTTATTTTTTGCGAATTTTATTTTAGAAAAGGATGATTATCAAATTCTCTCCCACTGCCCTAAACGTGAGAATAAAAAAGTGATATTTTTTTTACTATTTTCAACTAGACTTATATTTATTAATAAAATTTAAGTTCCATAGTATAATCTCTCAGCGTTTAAAAATTATGAACATATAAAGTTTGTAACCCCCTCAGGGGATTTGAGGGGATTCAGACTTTATATGGTTATATTTTTCGAACGCTGAGAGATTATACAGATGTTACAGATACTGAGAGATTGTACTTAAAACTTAAAATTTATCGATGAATATAAGTCTAGTTGAGATTAGTAAAAAAAATTTACTATCAATTTGTTGCGCTCACATTTGTTCGGTCAGGGAGGCAGGGGGGATTTAGGGCTTTTTTGTTTCCAGGTTCCAATCATCACAACTTTTGCAAGGCATCCTTATTTAATATAAGTATAAACACGAAAATGTTTCTAAAATATGGCAGCATTTTCTAAAATAATGTTTATACTATCTTGTTTAGTCTTAGTTATGATTTGGAATTTCTTGCTTAAAAAAAAATGTTTGAGTACTTTTCCTATGCATTTGAGCACTTTTTCTTTTTGGCACTTTTATCTTCTTTTTTTTTTTATGGTTAAGATTTGTTAACATGCACATATGCAATATTAAAAAATATTGCTGTATAAAGAATGTCAAATGAATGAAAAAGTTATCAACATAAATATGCCGCTTGTATGGGAAGTGAAAAGTCAAGCAGACCTCCAGTCTATAGACTAGGATTCTGGTCGGTTGTTCTCAACCATTTTAAATTAAATCAAACTACTAAATCAAAAAAAAATTAAAAAATTAAAATAAACTAAATCAAAAAAAAAAAAAATCTCTTAACATTATGTGTTCATAAAAAGGATATTAACGTGTTTGTATGATTTATTTTCAGCAAGATAATATTAGGTTAGCATTTATTTGATCAAGTAATAAATGGTGTTTTGAATTTAAACATAATATATCTGACAAAAAAAGTTAGATAAGGCTGCAAAATTCATAATTCACTTGAAACTATATGTCAATGATGAACTTGCAAAGTAAATTTCACATAGCCATCAGATTACTTTATCAGGTTCCATCTTAAGGAGTATTTTAATAAGCAGATGATCTCGGATTTTTATCAAAACAAACATCATAAGCAGTGTGTAAACGAAAAATTAAAAAATTTTGTTGTAACTTAAAAAATTTCTGTTTTGGTAAAAATTAAAAGCCATGGTTATTTAATGAGGCTCGATGTGATTCTATGAAAACATTTAAAGATATATTTATATTTATAAAATGAATTTTTTTTAACACGCTATGATATTTAAAATACAATTTGTGGCATTTTACTTTTGCATTCAGTTTTTGATTTACATGAGTTTTGTATGTGTCATTGAGGATGGAGCATTTTGTTTGCATTACAAATAGATTTAGGCATTGGGAAAACTTCAACTATTTGTTCAATGTTCATAAAATTATAGTACTTTGCAAAAATATTCAAAAAAAATCCACCAGTAAACCCAAGTTAAAGTAAATTAAGTTTGAAACAAAAATTTTATAAGATCATAGTTTTTTTTTTTATTTTTTTTTTTTATGTTGATTTAGGTGCCCCAAGAAGTCCTTAAGGTCTTATCACAGAGCACCGCGGAAGAGCATTTAATAGGAAGTTCAAGCCTCCTTCCCAACCGATGTCGCAAAACTTGCCCAGAGGTGTGGTTTGAACCACGGATCTTACGTTTCTGAGGCAAGTGCGCTACCACCACTGCGCCACGGCTGCTTGTTTGTATTAGGGATTGCGGCAGTTTGTATTAGAGATTGCGGCTAATTGATTTTTAGCAATTAGTTTCAGCTTAAAGCCGAAGCAAATCAACTTAATCAGCCTGTAGCAGAGACTCGTGGCAATGTAGTTAAAAAGTTATTTTTCGTTTAATATATATATTTAATTAATTCAAATTAAGTATTATTCATCATACGCATCATACATGCAGCGCCATATTCTTTATGTATTATTCATCATACGCATCATACATGCGGCGCCATATTCTATATGTATTATTCATCATACGCATCATTCAAGCAGCGCCACATTCCAAATGTATTATTATTGATGAATATGAATATATTGAATAAAATATAATTATAATTACTTAAGAGTTTTAAGGTGGCTCATATAGAAAATAATATTCAGTTTAAAAAAAAAATGTGAACTTCTTTTGAATACACCATTCGATGCAAAATTTATTATACTTTTAGAAAATATGTGCATTTTGCAAAAAATATTTATTACTATTACCTTACTTAAACTTTTTTATTTTTCATTGTTTTGCTAATAGTTCCTATTTATCGGAAAACTTTGATCATCGTTTTTATAGCTTTTTAATTTTATTCTTTTTTTGCAACTTCAAAACATGATATCTCGAGATTAAGGAAAGCTTTTTGGCTGAAATTTTTCATGTTTCTTATTCATTAAGATTTCAGATGTGCTAAAATGGTTAACTAAGTTTTATCAATTTTTTTAACACAACACCTGTTTTTTTTTATGTATAAATTTGTGATTTTTTTAAGTATTGTGTATCGTTTTGATATTTTAATTGTTTTTTTCATTCTTTTAGTAGAAATGAATGATAATAATGTAATGAAACAAAAAACAAAAAATTATTAGGTCCTCCTTTGCCTTCAACCATTCTATTTAAAATCCTTTTTGCTCAATAATGTAATATGTCCTCATCAAGAAGCTGCTAAGCATTATAACATCAACAATTATAGGACAAATAGTACCACCGTTATTATCGTCATCATCTGCATCTTTCACTCTTAATATATTTTTCTAGACCTCTTCTAATAATAACACCAGGATGTTCTTCTGAAACTGAATGACTATTGACTTTTAGTATTCGATTATTTTCAGTACTTCTTGTACTGAAAATAATCGAAAAGTGGTTCGCGCGTTTGCCTCAGAGGCTAGAGATCCGTGGTTCAACGCCATCTTTGGACACGTTTTATCGGTAAGTAAGGAGGCGAGAACTTCTATTCAAATGCTCTTCCGTGGTGCTCTGTTATAAGACCACAATGACTTCTTAGGGCACCTTAAAATTCCAGGTTCGAAACGAGCTCTGGACCTATTTTCGCTTCACGGTAAGGAAGGAGGCGTGAACTTCCTAGTTAAATGCACATCCGCGGTGCTCTGTGACAAGACCGTTAGGTCTTCTTAGGGCACCTAAATAACAAAAAAAAAAAAAATTATAAAATAAAATAAAAAAAAAATAAAAAAAATAAAAAAATTAATATATACTTTCTATACGTTATTGGTCCGACTCCTATACCAACTTGGTTCTTAGATCAAGCTGATTAAATTGAACTCAATCAGTTTTAGACTCGTGGCTGATCAATTTAAGCTACGAAGCTTAAGCTGAAGCTGAAAGCCGCCTAATTTAACATCTAATTTTATTAAAACCAATTTTGACGAAAATACGATCATATTAGTATTAGAACGTCTTTATTTTTTGAACGTATTTCAGTTTTAAAAAAAGATTCATATAAAAAAGACCTGATTTTTAATTTGTTTAACAAATTGATTCTATCTCAAGTCAATATACTGGGAAAAGTTGTTTAAAAAGCCTCTAAAAAGAATTTAATTTTTGCTTTGCTTTGTATTGC